TATATGATTTAAGCATGCGAACAGTTTTTTTATTTCATTTTTTTGAAAAAGGTGAAGACAGTAGTCTAGCTCATCACAAATACTTGATATACAACAATTTATTATAAACCATTGTATAGTGATTTGCAGCTTTTTTTTTTTGTTGTCTGCTTAATAGTATGCTTTATAAAACGAAATCTACATTGTTGTTTAAAATTTGAACCACGAAAAAAGAAGAAAAAATATATATATAACTCTATCGTTAATTAAATGCATATAAAAGGTAGGAAATTAAATTAATGCCTATTTATTAAATAGTCAGATAAATAAGAACACAGTATGCCAGGCTTTATTTATAAAACAAAAAAAAAAAAAATGTTTCCGGGAACTGTCTGAGATCCAGACTAAATTGCATAATACTGCTGGCTATGAAGTCTCGAAACTTGTCGACATTGAAAATAAACTATGCAGTTTTTTTTTTTTTTTTCAAGACAGCCTATAAGTATTTGTTTCCAGTATAACATTAATATCTGACAGCTAAGCACAGAGGTAAGAATCTCGTATAAAATTAGTGAAATAATTATACATCTTTCCTGTCCATAACTGTTCATAATAAAGGAGCGCAATCAAACAAGGTAGGCAGCAATTTACCAACACGTAGGATTAAAACCAGTTAGCAACTCAATGAAAGTCGTCTTTTTTTTTTTTATATACATATGGACCTAATAATTTCAAGGTGGACTTAAACATTTAGAATATTTTATAAATAATGCTAAAAAAAAAAGGTAAAGGCCAACAAGAAAACCTTCCTGATTAGCAACATAATTTCCAAGAGCCTTGAAAAGCGATTAAAAAATGCTTAAATCAATATCATTCGATAAGGTTTTGCATCGTAGTTATCTCACAATGGCTTAGTTGGGGTTAATTGTTTTGGTTAGTTAATAACTTCGTCAGTAATAGCTTATAAGATTTATCAAGGGCTAAAGAAAAAAAATTAAGAAATTCCGCAATAATATATCAAGCACAAAAATGCAAAAAAAAAAAATATATAAATAGTAGTACATTATAAAACAGATAAAAGCCTTGATATTTCCTCCACAAGTAGGGAGACAAGATTGGTTCGGAGTAGTGTTGCTCAAAATCGGTCTTGGTCTTGCACTTTGCAAGACCAACACTAACACCACCTAACTGCTGCAAGACCAAGACAAAGACTGGTAAAAAGAAATCGATTTTTCGAATAAAAATTAATGAAAAATAGTCACTAATTTTAGATGTTAGACAATTTTAGATGTTATATGTAAAGAATTGGTATAAACAATATACATTTTCATTTAACACTTCTACTCTTTCATTCGGGCTTTGTTAGGTTTCTCCTATCTAAAAAATTACTGTAATATCTCTATATCAATATGCTAATAGGTAACTGTTGCGCAAGACCAAAACCAAGACCAAGACTGAGTTTGCAAGACCAAGACTCGTCTTAGTCTCGCATTTGTTCAACACTAGTTCGGAGTTCCCCTGGATAATCGCAAATAGTGTACATAGGTATCCTTTTGTCGATGATGTTTATTTTACTTTAAGTATATTTTATTTTTATTTTTTTGACTTGTATATAAATATTTATTTATTTTTAATATATTTTAAAAAATAAATATATATATTTTTGTCTTTTCACTCTCATTATAATATTTTATTTTGTTCTTATTTTTATGTATTATTTTGTTATTATTTTATTTATTGTATTATATACAGTGTGAATGTGCTCTCTGAACTATATTATAAATGTCCTTAACTGAGAAGGATTGTAATATTTCTCAGTAAAAAGTAAAAAAAAAAATAGACAAAAACATTTATTTAAAGACTAAGGTCACATCATAAATTATGTCCAATAATAATATGATTTGAAAAAATTATATCAGTATATTTACCAGTGGTTGAATTTTTAAAAAGTTCAATTTTAACAGTTTCCGTCAAATATTTTTTGAAATATGTTCCATTTTAACAGTTTCCGTGTAATTCTTTTAGAAAAAAAAATTCTTAAAATAAAAGTTCTAAGGGGCATTTTTGTAATAAAGTTCAAGGTTTCTGATAAAAGTTTAACTTTTATTTATTCAAGTTCTTAAAAAATGTTCTTTAAAATGAAAAATAAATAACAACTGGGATTAGATTAGAGTTACAATTTGTCTTAAATGAATTACGTATGATTCTAATATGTTGTTTGTTTAAGTGTTGTTGCTTAAGTGGCTATAAATAAAAATTATGTTTTTAGATCGACTTTTTAGGGAATCGACAAAACTTTTAAATGATAGTTTTGTTGCTATTTTTTTTTAAAGTTCTGTAAAACCTTTACTTGAAAATTTTCAAGGAAAAAACTACTGTTTTCAAAAGAACTGAAAAACTATCGACAATAAAATTTCCAGTAATATCGAAACGTTTTAAAAATAAAGGTTGTTTTCCGTTCCAAGCCCTATTACCAAAATTTATATGATAAGATAATATTAATGTTTTATTACTTAAAAAGATATAGAATGAGTAATAATCAGTAAAAAAATATTTCTATAAAATACAGTATTTCTCTTTGGTGCTTCCTCAATAAAAAACGTAAAAAAGCTTTGAATTTTGAATAATTAAAATTTATTTTTCCTCAGAACCGAACATTTACACAGATGTCCTACATTTTAAACATCAAGGAACAAATTAGATCTTATCAGCAAATTATAATTTTCTAGAAAGTTTGAAAATGCTTCGCAAATGTTTGAAAATGCTTACAGATAAAAAAATAAATAAATTCATAATGATCAAAAGGATCATAAAAATTAAAGTTAAAATATAATTCGGTAACCCGTACTTAATACAGGACTTAAATCCAAAATAAATATTCAATATTTCAAAAAAAATATTAATAAAAAATGCATAAAAATAAAGTATTGTATTTAAATCAATATTAAATATTACCTCGTATTTTTTGTTTATTTCCTTTCAGAGCTTTTTATTCTATCGGTTCGATTTTGGGTGACAGATCAGTCATATCTTAAATATTTAAATTTTAACGATATTATTTATTTCCTTTGTATGTGAAGATAAGTTCAAACTTATCTTATATATTATAAGATATATATATATATATATATATATATATATATATATATATATATATATATATATATATATATATATATATATATATATATATATATATATATATATAATATCTTTGTTGATAAATAGATTCAAAATATTATTATTTAATTACATATATATTTTTTTTTTAATTTAAATTTCCTAAGTGACGAGACTGTATGTACAATAAATATTTTAGGCTAGAGAAAAAATAAATTTGTTATTTTTCAAAAGCGGAGATACTGAATTTTTATTAAATATTTCTCAAATATAATTTCAAACGTAATTTTTGAAAATAGTTATTTTTCAAATATATAATCGTTAATGAGTTATTTTGTTTTGGCTTTTTAATTATTTTTTCTTTGTTTTGGTTCCTTTACAATTATCTTATGTATTTTGATTTTTTTATGTGATTCTTAACGAAAACTTGAACTTTATATTATAATTGTAATTATGAAATATACAAGTTTTATATGAACTGCAATACTTTAATTGAAACATTTATTATGCTTAATTATTCATATATAAAATTAACAATGCACGACCTTCGTACAGGATTACTGAATGAAGGAAAGAGATAAAAAAGTTGTATAAATATCTATATAGAGTGTATGTGTAATTCTTTATATATTTAGCTCAACCCCCTCCTAAAAACAAATATGGACCAAAACGAGAGAAGAAAATTATATTTTTATTTGTTAGGTGGATCTTAACCCGAAAGACTCCCTCCTACCCCACTTTCGTGGATCAAACAGTGGTTTATATCTTAATTCATTTTTATACTATTTTGTCATCGACAATCGATTTGATTGCGTAAAAAGGTTCTGAAACGAAAAAAATGCGAGATAATATTACATATTTATTAAAATTCATAAGTTATTTTCCCGGTTTTCTGTTTTATTATATATTGTAAATGTAGAATGAATATTTTTTATTAAGGTCCTGTATTACTTACGAGTTACTGAAGTAAATTAAATTTTCAAGATCATAATGAATTTATTTTCAGTATAAAAATTTAGAATTTAATCTGTGCCTATAAATGTGTTATCTATATGTCCCTCATATCATGTTCGTATAAATATAATTGAAACTTTTAAATGAAGATTAAAACTACCATTAGGTGATTATTCAAAGATTCTAGAACAATGCTTTTCTTAGGTTCAGATGACATTGAAACAAGTTAGAAATAGTACTTCCCACGTTAACAGCTCAGTATAGATCTTACGACTCTTCGATTTGCTATATATATAGTGTCGGATTGGCTGAACACTGTTTGACTAATAGTATCTGGAATTTGTTAGGCTAAAGGAATTATTTTATAATCTTATAATAATGCTTACACCTAACATTCTAGTTAAAAAATTAAAGTTATTTTTATTATAATGAAAATTATATTGTATATTAAACCACGGCATTATATTCCATAATAAACAAAGACAATCGATTAATGAAAAAAACGTATTGATGTATATTAATATAGATAGGTTTGCAAACAGAGATCAGTGTACAAATCATAAAATAATGATCAGTCAAAATGAAGAATACTAAAAAAATATTATCGTGTCTTATTGCGATAATAAAAAGAAAACAAAAACCGTTGAATGTTTATCATAGATAGTAGTTTTTATCATGAGTATAAAAATGAATAGATAACACTGTAGAGTAGAGGTTATTATAAGAATAAACCTAATTACACTAATACATACTGAATAAGATCTGCATTCACAGCTAAATCCATCCATATAGGTGAGTTAGAATGATTTTCATTTTCACCCACAACCAAACAAAAAAAACAAAAAAATAAAGCTTATCACAAAGTAAAGTGTAAACAAGAAAACAAACCACTATAAAAATACAAAATACAACCAAAATTGGTTTACTTTCTTGAAGAAAAGACTTACTTCCTAAAGAAGCTCATAGACTTGGCGGAAACGGGTTGTTGAGGCATTGCCGGCAGTGCTATAGGACCGAGTGTATCCTTCAGCGTTGGATCAACTAAGGGTGCCCCCACCACTACCAACTGTACTTTTTTTTGTTTACACATTTTTTATTTATAACAAACATAAGGCGTCCTTCCTCAATGAATAATGAATTATAATTAAAAGTACTTAATTAATTAGAGATCGAGTTTATTAAGCGAAAGGATTATTTTTTTTTTACATGCATATATTGTTACTTCATCTGTAAAACCTCAACAGCTGAACATTTTTGAAGAGTATGAAAAGTAAGTTTAGATATTTCGCAAACTGAAAAACCCGAATGTCCAAACCGATTGTTTCTCAAAAAGACCTCGGTACAGACCCATTTTTAACAAATAGGAATATGGCGTTTTATAATTTAATTAATTAATTAATTATGGTAATAAGAACTTATGAATACCCATTTGTCTTTATTTTAAATACTATGATGTTGTGATGAAAAATTCTAGAAATGAAGGCTAATAATAAACATATTGTGTCGTTTGTTCTACATAACTTATTTATCCTGACATGTTGAGGATTCAAAAGAACCAATATTCTTTTATACCACCATTTTCTTGATTTAATGATCAAATAATATTGAGGTACAAGTGGATAGTAAATGGATGCTAATGAGTTTTTAGCACCTCATTGAATTGAAAGAGATTACCGACCTTCAAATCGAAAAAAAAAACTCATTTCTTCTTTTATATAAAAAAAACAATTGTTGGTTACGATAAGATGAAGCTATTCACTTACTTTTGTATCGCGCATTGTAGGCTAGTGTTTATGTTTCTTGTTTGATTCGTTTCATCTGTTGTTGACTTTTTCAGATAAAACAAAGGGATGAGTTATATTAAGCGCTAGGGTCGCTTATAAACATTGCCTACTCACGAGATGGTTTCACGAAAATTTGACGGTTTCTGGTTTAAATGAATTTTCTTCATCTACCATTTCCTAACGAATTTTATGACTTCTTTCGTTTTCTTTTGGTTTTTTTAAAACATTTCTGATGGGTTAAAACTAATGTGATTTCCAACGTCCGCTACAGAATTCAAATTATTTAATAGAAGAATTTAATAAGCCCCCCCCCCCTCCGAAATTTGTTTTTTTCGTCCAGGTAGGATTGGTATCTAACCCGGATTCGGAAGAGCTTTTAATACTGAATTTGGCAGATTATAACTGAAATCGCAGATTACTGCAGCTGATTTTTGTATTTATCATCAGCACTGGGCCTAAAGATGATTTCGAATGAAGGAAATGTAAGATTTCAGTATCTGTTGAGTAATAAATAATCTTATAAAAATACGAAATTCAATAATCTATTAAGAAATAACTTCTTTCAACAAATTACAAACAAAAATTTATTTTAAACCAAGAAAACACCTAATATATAATTTTCTTGTCATATTTTTAGGTTCAGTGCCGTTTTAGTAGGTTATTATTTAATACGGTTTAGGCCACGGGTCACCAATAAGATACTTTTTTTTTATTGAATATCTACATTTCCAGCGTTTCGGCTTCTTGAGACATTTTCAAGAATCTGTAGGAATTTGATTTTTTTTTTTAATTTAATTAATTTTCTTTATAATACTTGAATTTTTAAACATTCTGTTACATATAAGTAACTTAGTTAATTATTTTGGTTTAAAATTAATGTAAATTAATTGCATATCTTGTACCATTCCATAAAAAGATTTTAAGATAGCATCCTTGTCTATTTTGCCTGTTTATCCATTCTTTATTTCAGTTAATTTTGTTGTGATATCTAAAAATGTTTATATAAAAAATTAAATATAATGTTAAATTTTATTGATCAGATAAAAGACGAGGGATGTAGTAATTTGATCTTCGAAATATGAACCTAAGTGTAAGACATTAAGTCTGATGTTCCTTTATTAATCGTTCAGTCAAGACTGGATTTATTTTTATTTAGTGTTAGAAATGTTAGAAAAATTAAGGAGTTAGAACTCAATTGTTTTTATCAATTTTATAGTATTTTTCGTCATACATATATTTCGGTACTTTTTTTATATTAATTAAAAAATTAAAATAATTTTAGAGATTCTTGAAAATGGCTTTAGAAGCCAAATCCTTGGCAAATAAACATATACAACAAAAACGTATCTTACTCTTGACCTATAGCCTAAAACCAATTAAATAATGACCTAAAATATATTTCCTGATGCATAACTCGTTGTAAAATTAATATTTGTACGGGGTTTTTATTTATATGTTAGTGAAAATATTGAAAATACATATTTTTATTCATGCCTGGACTTCCATAATACATCAATTAATTATGTATAAAAAAAAACAAAAAAAAAACAGAACATTGGGGAGTTTTAGCTGTTCTAATACCGATGTGCATCACGTGAATAAATTGGAGTTTAAATTCAAGATAATAAGCAATGAACTGAGAAATTGGCCGAAACATAGGCAAGAGGAGAGTTTTGAGTCTGATCCTGGACATAAATGTTTGGACTGGTTCCTTTAATTTCTATACCATTACATTCCTGATACAAATAAATAACATCAAAGGAAGAGAATACTGTTGTTCTTTGATGGACTCAAAGGAATAACGTACTCCAACTTTGATGGAATGTACGAGTTATACTGTAAGTTGTTAAGCTATTCTAACCGCAGAGAAGAGATGGATGCAAGGTTCGCTGATCTGCTAAGAAATAAAAACTGACTACTTGACCGGTTCTCAAACTAGATGCCAACACGCCATCAAAATTTGCGGCAATTAACTTGATTCGAAACCATGACCAAAGTAATGGGCTCGAATTTCCTTGTAGGTATTGAAGAAATATCACTAAAAAGTAATATTAAAATATTAAATACACATTACTTAAATAATTGTTTGTCCTTAACTTCACTATTATGAAATAAGAATATAAATAATAATAATAATAATCCGTAACTAATAACTCATAAAATTATAAGTTAAAGTTAGTAAGATTTCTATAGATGAACAAATAGTTCCAAAAGAGACATGAAGTAAATAGGAAATGAGTGTAAAAATCCTGATGACATAGCAAGAAAAAAATTGGACACAAAAAATCAAAAATGTAATAACATAAACAAAATTAATTAATACATTTTTATATCATTATATTTTTGATATGCGTCATTTTTTCTTTCTTTTCTCATCCCTTTTGCTGAGCTGTTTATTATTACGTCCCGTATTTGGATGGGTAGGTGTGGTGTCGTTTGGAAATATATATTTTCTTTTCGCATACACGTGATGTTGTTATTTTTAGTCCTGACGATGCCTGAATTGGCAAATGGTAGGCATGTCAATTATGTCGTAATTAGAAAGATTTGATTTTATTACCAAAATAAACGTTTTTATTACCTATATTATTTCTTTATCATATCTCAGGCGATAGAAATTATTTAATTTTTATTAGTCTAAATACCGAAGTTGGATTGAATACTCATTCGTATTCATATATTATTTATTCTTCTTCGAACATATATTAAAAGTTTTAGACAAGAGTTGTTTTTTTTAAATATTTTTAAAATATATAATTGTTTAAATTATATATCTATATTATATACTTCATAAAATAATATTAATTTAATTTTAATAAAATACAAACATAAATATTTAGCCATCAGAAAATATTCTATAGTAATCTATGCCAATGTATTAATTTTAAAAAATCATATTAATTATTAAATATTTTTTATTTGTCAATAAGCCCAATTGCAACTATATATAGTAATGTAAAGACAATTTCTATCTGGTTTATTTATTTTTTATTGTATTTTTGTATTATTATTTAACAGTGAACTGATATATAATTAGTGAATCAACTGAAGATCTTTTCGATTTCTATTTTTTACTAATGTGTGAAAAAATGAATCCGAGCGTTCCTTTGTTTTTTTTAACAAGTACCGATAATGGAAAAATGTTTCTAATATAATTGCAAAATTATGTTTCTCAACCTTGGGTGGGAACAATGAAAAATAAACATTCACTAAATTATGAGAACACTGAGCAATGACTCAGCGAAACCTCCAAAACCTCACGATTACTCAATTAGAGCGAGTTTTATCTTGTTTTTTTTTTTTAAACATGTGTAATTTCAGAATTACTATTAAATAATACCGTCTTATTATTTTAAGGTGCAGAGAGTGCTAATATTTATATTTTTATCTATATTAAAAATAATATTAGCGAAAGGACAGTACTCAGCAGCCCCTTCTACAAGCCCTTCCTTTGATTCAGGAAACGAACTCTCTCACCCAGCTCCATTTTTAGCCACCTCATGGTAATGGAGCATCTATGATATATGCAGCCATATTCTGATACATCCGAAATATAATAGTATATGAATTGTATGTTGTAATTAGATTTCTACATGTATTTTTTTTTACGTATCTTTTGTTTTTAGTTTTTATAAGACATCATTTTTCTTTACAAACAATCTTCACGGTGTATGCCGATAGAAACATTTACCTAATATGAATTTTAAAATATTAACGAACGTTAATATTGAAGGAACAACGTTAATTTTGTCGACATCTAAATAAAGCCCATGGTCCGAACTATATGTATATAATGAACGACTTTCTTCTAGCAGAAGCTTTTCTTTAATCACAATGTTATTCTTGTTGCTAAATACAAATATCAAGTTAGCAAATTTTCTTTATTCTAATGTCTGATTCTAAACCAATTTGGGTATGTTAATCGTGTTTTTATCTCGTGATAGATCTTCACAATAGTTATAATATAATTATTTTATGAAAAAAAAAGATAAACTGATTTGAATTGATAGATTGGCTTATAATATGATGAAAGAATCCATATAATTTCTAAAACACATCTTTTTCCATTGCAAAATTTACCAAAGCGGAGTTACGAGATTTTCATTGCCTACCGCCAATATAATAATAAATAATATCTTGTATTTATTCTGGGACAAAGTCCCTTTAGAGCAATATTTAATAATAAAATTACGAGTGTTAGAGCCTGATA